GACATGATTTATATATATATATATATATATATTATTTAAATTACAAAAACGAAATCTTTTAACGATTAATGTGGTTGAAAATATTTAAAATAAATAGAATTTGAAAAAAAAGTTTCAACAATTGAATGTTGAAAACATTTTAATGTAAAATAAGAATGAGAAAATAAAAAGATGAATATGAAAGATGGTTTTTCATTAAACTTGGTTTCTCAAGATTCCATGAGGAATAGTTGTTGTCAACCAAACTCTAAAACAATTGCAAAAAACATATTGTTGGTTCTATTGGGAAAAAAAAAACTTAAGAAAAATGTAGAAGACATTAGTTAAAAAAAACCTCTAAAATCCTAACAAAATTAAAAAGAATTGTATACTCGGATTAATCGTCTCGAAATAAACCTGAAAAAAATGTAACCATTCAAAAAGGGCATGTTGAAGTTTGGTGATGCTACATGAAAAATTGTAACAAAAAAAACTTCAAAAATCTCAATAAAAGTCAAAAGAAATGCATACACACATTAGTTTTCTCAAAGTATACTTGAAAAAAGATAACCATTACAAAAATATGTTGAAATTTGTTGAGGCTACATCATGGTTTGTAATAATTTCAAAATTCTATTATCAGACGATTAATCGAACCATTATTGGCATGAAAACTCTAAAAGTGTTGTCAAGAACAAGCTCTCCGTTTCATTGAGAAAACTTAGGAAAATCATAGAAGAGAAAAGTAAAAAAGAAAACAAAATTCTAAAATCCCAACAAAAATAAAAAGGAACGCATACCAGAATTAGTCTTCTTGAAATAAACTTGAAAAATAGATTTGTTGATAAATAACAATTTATGAAATGAAAAACAAATCAAGTGATGGAGATGGAGAAAAATGAAATGAAAAACAAATCAAGAAATGAAGATGGAGAAAAATGAAATGAAAAACAAATCAAATGATGAAGATGGAGAAAAAGAGATTGAATGATGAACAATTTATGAAAAAGAGTTAGCAAAAATGAAAAGATTGTGTTAAATGCAAACATAAATTAATAATCAATGTTCATAAAATTAAAATGTGAAATTAAAAAAAGATTAAAAGAGGATGAATGAAAAAAAAAAAGATAAATAAGTTTCCAACCTTTAGGAGAAGCCAAGTCATCAACCTTGGTTTCTCCTTTCAAAAATCTCAATAAAAGTCAAAAGGAATGCATACACACGTTAGTTTTCTCAAAGTATACTTGAAAAAAGATAACCATTGCAAAAATATGTTGAAATTTGTTGAGGCTACATCATGGTTTGTAATACTTTCAAGATTCTATCATCAGACGATTAATCGAACCATTGTTGCNCAAAAATATGTTGAAATTTGTTGAGGCTACATCATGGTTTGTAATACTTTCAAGATTCTATCATCAGACGATTAATCGAACCATTGTTGCCATGAAAACTCTAAAAGTGTTGTCAAGAACAAACTCTCAATTTCATTCAGAAAACTTAGGAAAATCATAGAAGAGAAATGTAAAAGAAAAACAAAATTCTAAAATCCCAACAAAAATAAAAACGAACTCGTACCTGAATTAGTCTTCTTGAAAATAGATTTGTTGAAAAATAACAATTTATGAAATGAAAAACAAATCAAATGATGGAGATGGAGAAAAATGAAATGAAAAACAAATCAAGTGATGGAGAT